AGCAAGCACCCCAAAATTAAATTTGTCATTTACACATGTTATTTCAAATCTGTATGCTGTTCCTTGTTGGCATGAATGTGGTCAATGTATAGAAAAGAAATTCTTCTTTTGAGTTATATGGGGAAAAATCTAAATGACAGTTTTAGTTGAATATAACCTGAAAGTGTACTATTGATGCTCTTCATTTAAAGGGATTCCCATGATTTATTGATTTGTGTGTTTTCCCAGTCTTGAAGAGTGCAGGAACATAATCCTGCAGTATGGGGTGCGAGAGGTGACAGCCAGTCAGGTGGCCAGAGTGCTGGGCATGATGGCCCGCACTCACTCTGGGCTGTCCGATGGCATCGGCCTGCAGGTATGTTGTTAACTATAACTGTTAAAATTGTTTCTGTCTGGGCCTGGTTTTGGTTCTGCTGGAATTGTAATGTAACAAAGTTTGAGTTAAAGGATCAGATAGGGAGTCTGAACAGGTTTGAGTAACTAGTTTTTCTTTTTATCTGTAGTCCATCTCAAATCCAGTGGGTGGTGGGATCTGGAGTGATGGGAAGGACAAGAGTGACTGCTCTCAGGCCCACACCTGGAATGTTGAAGTTCTAATTGATGTGGTCAAAGAAGTGGTAAGGCTGTGTTTGTTTTAGATGCATTACCAGATCAAACATTAGTTAGCAGAACAGAACTTAATTTAACTCTGCTTGTTCTTCTCAGAACCCCAATCTGAATTTCAAAGAGGTGACCTATGAGCTGGATCACCCAGGCTTCCTGATCCGGGACAGTAAGGGGCTTCAGATAGTGGTCTATGGGATCCAGAGGGGTCTAGGAATGGAGGTGTTCCCAGTGGATCTCATCTACAGACCATGGAAGCATGCAGAAGGACAGGTTGAAAAAAAGTCTTAGTTTGAAGTGTCGCCAATTCAGATTAAACTAATTTGTCTAGAACTTGCATTGGAAATAAAGTAGCATATTGAAGTCCTGCTCTTTTGTGTTCTCCAGCTGTCATTCATTCAACACTCGCTGATGAGTCCTGAAGTCTTCTGCTTTGTTGACTACCCCTGTCATACTGTTGCCATTGACATCCTGAAGGCCCCACCTGAGGATGACAACAGAGAAATAGCCACATGGTAAGTCTTGACCAATTTAAGACCATCTAGTTTTTCTAAATATTGTGTACTGTATGTTTTATATCTTCTCCTTTCGCTTTGTTCAACAGGAAGAGCTTGGACCTAGTGGAGAGCCTCTTGCGCCTCTCTGAAGTCGGGCATTATGAACAGGTGAAGCAGCTCTTCAGCTTTCCCATCAAGCACTGCCCGGACATGCTAGTGCTGGCGCTGCTACAGATCAGCACCTCCTGGCACACCCTGCGTCATGAGCTCATCTCCACCCTCATGCCCATCTTCCTGGGCAACCACCCCAACTCTGCCATCATCTTGCACTATGCCTGGCATGGACAGGTGGGTGAATTTAACATCAGTTTGAAGAGGCGCAAAGTTCTGTTCTGCTGTCACTGTGTATTAATGTGCCTGGGTTATGTTTCCAGGGCCAGTCCCCCTCCATCCGCCAGCTGATCATGCACTCTATGGCTGAGTGGTACATGAGAGGAGAGCAATACGACCAGGCCAAGCTATCCCGCATCCTGGATGTGGCTCAGGACTTGAAGGTACTGATCTCCTGCTCCTGATGTCATGAGGAGTACATTAATAGGGTTGGAGACTGAAAACAAGTTTTTGTATTAAAAAAGTGGTACTGCTCGAGAGAATGCTCTTGTTTTTGTGCATTGCAGTCTCTATCGATGCTGCTGAATGGTACTCCATTTGCCTTTGTTATATCAATGTTGAAAACAGTTGTGCTGCTTATACTTCAGTTTCCAAGATTTTACATTGAACAAAGTTCAAAAGAACAGCATCTTTTGAAATAGAAATAATGTGTGAAATTATAAGTGTCTGTTACTTTTAATGTTTATTGTAAATTTACTGAAAAAAGTAAACATACTTACCCCAGACTTATGAACGGTATGATATTTTGAATTCTAAGTCAATGCACAATGAAGACTGACGTGTAGGGCTGGGCGATTTGGCAAAAAAATTAAATCTCGATTTTTTTTTCAGAACGTTTGACCGATTTTCGATTTTTTTTTTAATGATTTTTAACTAGTCAACTTAAAAATGTTACTACAACATGATTCAAATAGCTTTTTCTTTATTAACCCTCTAGTTAAAGAAAATTCTATTCTAAGTGCAGCACACATGAAGTTGTCAACATGATGTAAATGTTAAACAAATCACTTGTTAAATATCTTTGCATAAAAGATGCATGAACTACAACTGCATCCTGTACAAACTTGTCTTGTAGCCTACATGTTATACGTTCAGAAATAATAGGCTACAATGACTGTTGAGAATTTTTTTTGAAGCATTTTCAATGTAATTCAAATTCAAAATGACTGCGCACTTGTAAATATATCTGTACATTCATTTAAACGGTTACATTTCTATATATTTCTACTTCTGTATTTAGTGCATTTAATTTTCTGTTTTTTTTTTATATTGGTATTATACTCCATCTCTACTGTGTAATTCCTATGTCTGCTGCACTAGTTTGCACTATGTCCAATACTTTCTTCTGCACTGGAAGCTCCTGTCACTAAGTTAAATTCCTTGTCTGTGTAAACATACTTGGTAATAAAGCTCTTTCTGACTTCTGAAGGTATAACACCAGTAGAATATTAACAATAAATGTTCTGTGTAAACAACGAACAGCAGCTTTCAGCCTGTCACCATGATGCAAACATTAAATATTATGGAGCTTTTCCATTGCGTGGTACGGCACGGTTTGCGTTTCCACTGCAGTTCAGTACCGCTTTAGAGTGGGCGAGATTATTCACATGTCGTTATAGTTGCGCCGCCTCTACTACCACGACTCCTAAAAAAAACGTTTTCATTCCGCGTCGCCCCATCAAGCTCTCGCTGGATATGCTCCTCTGCTATCAACGAGAGGAACGTCTGTTCTTCCGCAACAGGTACCGAGCCGTACCATGCAGTGGAAAAGCGCCATTAGACATACAGTAGTAGTTCTTTACAGGTTTTTTATCCGATTGCGCTGCTTTTCCATTGTTTTTTCTATGTAAACATGGACGCGTTTGACTGTTGCAGCATCTCACGCATGAAATGGCATTATAAAAACGCAGCGCTCAAATTAAAAGAAGTTCACTCATCTTTTTGCATGTTTTTTCTATTCCACTGTCCATGTTGCATCTTTGTCAACTCAAAAGCGCATTCTGTGTGAACGGCACCTCGCGATATGTGCGCATCACACGTGAGCGGTTAATCACGTGTGCCGATATGCGGTTGGATCGTTCTTTTCTCTTTACTGTTATGATTGGCATATTATTAAAGTGTCTAATTGTAGCATTTGGTAATATTTATATTCAGTCGCGATTTCTAAAATGTCTGCTGCACTAGTTTGCACTATGTCCAATACTTTCTTCTGCACTGGAAGCTCCTGTCACTAAGTTAAATTCCTTGTCTGTGTAAACATACTTGGTAATAAAGCTCTTTCTGACTTCTGAAGGTTGCATCTTTGTCAACTCAAAAGCGCATTCTGTGTGAACGGCACCTCGCGATATGTGCGCATCACACGTGAGCGGTTAATCACGTGTGCCGATATGCGGTTGGATCGTTCTTTTCTCTTTACTGTTATGATTGGCATATTATTAAAGTGTCTAATTGTAGCATTTGGTAATATTTATATTCAGTCGCGATTTCTAAAAAATAAAATCGCTGCAAAACATTAAATTCGAATTAATCGATAAAATCGGAAAAATCGCCCAGCCCTAGGTGAGCGTTTATTTTACTTTGCTTGGCAGTGGAATCTGGCAGAAGATATTTAAATAGTTATTAATAAATAAATAATAAATTACTAATAAATGCATATTTGCCAAATAAATATTATGGAGCTTTTCCATTGCGTGGTACGGCACGGTTTGCGTTTCCACTGCAGTTCAGTACCGCTTTAGAGTGGGCGAGATACGTGTCGTGTTTGTCGATTAGGAGCCGTTCATCCAGGCGTGTGTCACATTCCTGAAGAGACGTTGTCCCTCTATCATGGGTGGTTTGGCCCCAGAGAAAGACCAGCCGAAAAGTGCTCAACTTCCTCCTGAAACACTGGCTACCATGCTTGCATGTCTGCAGTCTTGTGCTGGGTGCGTATATAGAGCCCTTGCTCATGTTTTTAAGCATTTTAAGGAAAAGCTTGGGTTGAAGTTAAACACTTGGTTTTGTTGGTTTCTTTGAGCAGGAGTGTGTCTCAAGAGCTGTCAGAGACAATCTTGACCATGGTGGCCAACTGTAGCAATGTGATGAACAAGGCCCGGCAGCCGCCACCAGGAGTCTTGCCAAAGGGACGAGCTCCCAGCACCAGCAGCTTAGATGCTATTTCACCTGTGCAGGTAACTGTGGCATTATCTACTGAATGAAAAAGGCTATTGGTGTCAAGATTGGCTGAATTGTATTTTGATGGTGTTGTACTCAAATATGTCTCTTTGTATTTCAGATGGACCCTCTCTCTGCGATGGGCTCTTTGAGTCTAGGTGTCTCGTCCACCTCTCACACCCCGAGCATGCAAGGATTCCCCAGCCTGCAGGGCTCTGCCTTCAGTAACCCCCAGTCCCCAGCCAAAGCCTTCTCAAACCTGCCCAACCCGACCCCCAGCACAGCTTTCCCAGGAATCAACCCCCTCTCTTCTCAGCTCCAAGGTACCATGAGACTTCAATGGAGTTATGAAACTCTGGTCTAGAACCTAGTGAGGATGCACTACTGTTTTCCAGTTTGTTTGATTACAAATGCATTTCTTGAATTGCTTCTGTAGGTCCTCTGAGCTCAAGCTTGACTGGGATTGGCTCAGGTTTGGGCATGCCCGCTGTCAGCAGTGACCCCTTCGGCACCAGGAAGATGAGCACACCGGGGTTGAACCCGCCCACCTTCCAGCAGAGTAAGATGAAGGCCTGTAAGTGGTGGTGTGGCTGAGAGAGTGCCAGGCGCCTCAAGCTGTATTTCTTCTCAAAACTGGCACTCAGAGCCTTACAAAAGTCCTTTTGACACATTTCAGAGTCTTATCTCTGTGCAATTTCATCTCTGGGCCAAAAATGTCATTAGAACCTAAGAGGAAATACAGGTCAGTCTACATTACTGCAAGATGTTCTTGGCAACCAGCTTGGATCCGTGTGTAAATATTATTTTCTTCCATCAGACATATGAAGGAAAACAAACTGTTTGCCTGGAACTTCTGTTTTGTTTTTTTCTGAATTTGTGCTTTAGTCGGTCTTTCTTCAAATTAAGTGATTTTTAAATTCATAAAGTGCTGTAACAGGTTTTTTCCTTTGCTACAGCTGACCTCTCTCAGGTGTGGCCCGAGGCAAACCAGCACTTTAGTAAGGAGATAGACGATGAGGCAAACAGCTACTTCCAGCGCATCTACAACCATCCGCCGCACCCCACAATGTCCGTGGATGAGGTGAGATCAACAGAAGGAACAGAGTAGAATGGTGCTTTTGCTCGTTCTTAATACGCTAATTTCTAAGGTACAGCTTTCGAATTCATAGTGATTCTTTTAATGTAGGTGCTGGAAATGCTGCAGAGATTTAAGGACTCGAACATCAAGCGGGAACGGGAAGTTTTTAACTGTATGCTGAGGAATCTGTTTGAGGAGTACCGATTCTTCCCTCAGTATCCAGACAAAGAGCTACACATCACCGCTTGCCTCTTTGGGGGGATCATTGAGAAAGGCCTGGTCACATACATGGCGCTGGGCTTGGCCTTACGATATGTCCTGGAAGCCTTACGCAAACCTTTCGGATCAAAGATGTATTACTTTGGGATCGCTGCACTAGATAGATTTAAAAATAGGTACTGTCAGTAGCTTTTCTTGGCTTCCCAGCCACCACACAAGATTTAATTTGCATCTTGATATGTGAATTGTTTTAAATCTGAACCGCTCTCTTCCTCAGACTGAAGGACTATCCTCAGTACTGTCAGCACTTGGCGTCAATAGCCCATTTCCTGCAGTTTCCGCACCATTTACAAGAGGTAACCTAGTTTTTCGTTGTATTTTGGTCATGCCCACAGCGTTTTCCTGTAATATCTCACTCTGCACTAGTTGGTTAAACTTTCAGCTGAATAAGTCTGCTGTTGTATGTTGTCTGTTTTCTGTGTATAGTATATAGAGTATGGCCAGCAGTCCAGAGACCCTCCTGTGAAGATGCAAGGCTCCATTACCACCCCAGGTAGCCTGGCTTTAGCCCAGGCTCAAGCTCAGTCTCAGACCCCCAAAGCCCCTCTACCTGGCCAGGTCAGCACCTTAGTGACCACAGCCACCACAACAACCACCGCTGCCAAAACCACCACCATCACGAGACCTACAGCTGTTGGACCGAAGAAGGACGTGCCAGTGAGTGCACATAATCACTGTTCCATTAATGTCATTTTCTGAAATGTATCATTGGTCCTAGATGGACTCATCTCTGTGGTATTTGATGTTTTAAATTCTTCCACAGCCTTCAATCAACACCACAAACATTGACACCTTGTTGGTGGCCACAGACCAAACTGAAAGGATCGTTGAGCCCCCAGAGAATGTTCAGGAGAAGATTGCATTCATCTTCAACAACTTGTCCCAATCAAACATGTCCCAAAAGGTTTTTTTTTTTTCTTACAATCTGTATCTTTAAGTTATATATCATAAGTTTGTGCTTTTACTTCCTAAATCATCTTTTGCTGTGTTTTTGAAGGTGGAGGAACTGAAAGAGACTGTGAAAGAAGAATTCATGCCCTGGGTCTCTCAGTACCTGGTTATGAAGCGTGTCAGCATTGAGCCCAACTTCCACAGCCTGTATTCTAACTTCCTGGACACACTGAAAAACCCAGAGTTTGTCAAGATGGTTCTCAATGAGACTTACAGAAACATCAAGGTAATTTTCTTGAAATATAACATGATTAAAGTCATAAAACCTAGGTATACCTACATTATGATGACTTAATGTTGTCCCATTTTGTTTTTCAGGTCCTCCTTACCTCTGATAAGGCAGCTGCTAACTTCTCAGATCGATCCCTGCTGAAGAATTTGGGTCACTGGCTTGGAATGATCACCCTAGCTAAAAACAAACCCATCCTGTACACAGTGAGTTTATTTTTATTATCCATTGCCTGAGCTTGAAACACTTATAAAAGGATCCAATTCGTTATTATACCTGCTGTGTGACTGCATTAATGTTTTGCTCTTATAGGACCTGGAGCTGAAATCTCTCTTGCTGGAGGCTTATGTGAAAGGCCAACAGGAGTTACTGTATGTCGTCCCCTTTGTGGCCAAAGTCTTGGAATCAAGTCTACGGAGTGTGGTAATAATCATGCAGTTTTCTCTCCCAATTTTGCAGTCAGGTGTTGAGTGTGGGCCAGTTTTGCAAATATCAGGACATATAACCTCTTTTTAACAATTGGTGCCCTGTTTTGTAGATCTTCAGACCGCAGAACCCTTGGACCATGGGTATCATGAATGTACTGGCTGAGCTCCACCAGGAACATGACTTAAAGGTCTGTTGCTTTCATTGACGCTAAACTTATGGTACATAAGCTTCCAGTGGAAGTAGTTTTCACTCAGTCCCACAATTCTCTCTTCACAGCTTAACCTCAAGTTTGAGATTGAGGTGCTCTGCAAGAATCTGTCTTTGGACATCAGTGAGCTAAAACCAGGAAACCTACTGAGAGACAAAGAGAAGCTGAAGAACTTGGAGGAACAGCTCTCTGCACCAAAGAAAGAGACCAAGCCTCCTGAAGAGATGCTGCCTATAGTTACAACAGGTATAACACTACAACAGGCACGTTGTAAGATGTGTTTTTTCCATAGTTTACCGTTTCCTGTTTAACCAGGAGTAGATTCTGTTCCATTTACAGCTGCTCCGTCAACTCCGGCCACCACCACGACCTGTACGGCCACTGGACCACCCACACCACAGTTCAGCTACCATGACATCAATGTGTATGCCTTGGCTGGCCTGGCCCCGCACATCAACATCAATGTTAACGTTAGTCTTGCACTACCAAAACAACTTTTCTAAATTTTACTTGTTTTCAAATATTACAATTTTCTTCCTCGCTTTTTGTGTAGATCCCATTACTACAGGCCCACCCTCAGCTGAAGCAGTGTGTGAGACCAGCAATTGAGCGTGCTGTACAGGAACTGGTTCACCCAGTGGTGGACCGATCCATCAAGATTGCCATGACCACCTGTGAGCAGATAGTCAGGAAGGACTTCGCACTAGACTCTGAGGAGTCTCACATGCGTGTGGCCGCCCACCACATGATGCGTAACCTGACCGCCGGCATGGCCATGATCACCTGCAGGGAGCCTCTGCTCATAAGCATCGCCACCAACCTGAAGAACAGCTTTGCTGCAGCTCTTAGGGTAGGGAAAGATTTTCCACTCCATCCGGACACACAAAATGATTTAATTTTCTGACTCGCTGAGCATGTCCATTTTAGGCTCCCACACCCCAGCAGAGAGAGATGATGGAAGAGGCGGCTGCTCGCATTGCACAGGACAACTGTGAGCTTGCTTGTTGCTTTATCCAGAAGACAGCAGTGGAGAAAGCTGGACCAGAGATGGACAAGAGGCTGGCAACTGTGAGTCCCTGCACACTATCCTAATTGTTACACCAGTTAAGGAACAGCTGCTTGTCATGGTCATGTAATATCATACAGCCAAAAAAAACTGTATGATTCTGTCTTGCAGGAATTCGAGCTGAGGAAGCATGCTCGCCAAGAAGGCCGTCGCTACTGTGACCCTATGGTGCTCACCTATCAGGCTGAGCGCATGCCAGAGCAGATCAGACTGAAGGTGAGTTCTTTGTAAACTTCTCATTGGGTCAATGGTTTATTATTCTGTATGAAAATGTTAGATTCTGACTTGCTTCTCTTCTCCAGGTCGGTGGAGTGGATCCTAAACAGCTGGCTGTTTATGAGGAGTTTGCCCGTAATGTCCCAGGCTTCCTACCCAGTAATGACCTGTCTCAGCCCACTGGTTTCCTTGCCCAACCAATGAAGGTACAGACCCCATCCTTGAAGTGGTTGTGTTTGGTTGTCACATTGGTTAAGTAGCTCAAAGGTTCTCTTTTCTGCATTGCAGCAACAGGCATGGCCCACAGATGATGTGGCTCACATCTATGATAAGTGCATTTCGGACCTGGAGCAGCACCTGCATGCAATTCCACCTGCCCTAGCCATGAACCCACAGACCCAGGCCATACGCAGCCTTCTGGAGGCTGTTGTCATGGCTAGGACCTCCCGTGATGGCATCGCTGCCCTGGGCCTTTTGCAGAAGGTTAGAGAGACTCTGGGAGAAAAACTTGACTACACTTTATGGCGGTGTTGTCCAATCCTGCTCCTGGAGGGCCACTGTTCTGCAGAGTTTAGCTTTAATCCTAACAACTTTTGGTCTTCAGGATCACCAGAAACGTCCAAGCAAATGTTTTGTAGCTAAACACTGCAGGGTCATTGGCCTTACATGTGTAAGACTGGACATCCCTGCAATACTCAGCTAAAATCTAACAAATCTTATGCTTGCTTGCTTGCTCACTCTCAGGCTGTCGAGGGTCTGCTGGATGCCACCAGTGGCGCTGATCCTGATCTTTTGCTGAGCTATAGGGAGTGCCACCTACTGGTGCTGAAAGCCCTACAGGACGGTCGTGCCTACGGTCCACAGTGGTGCAACAAACAAATCACCAGGCCAGTACTACAACTGCAGCGTAAACTTATGTCACAAGCATCGACAGGTCTTGAACGTCCTAACCTTTTCTTCTACACCCCCTACAGATGCCTGATTGAGTGCAGAGATGAATACAAGTACAACGTTGAGGCCGTAGAGCTCCTCATTAGAAACCACCTGGTCAACATGCAGCAGTATGACTTACACCTGGCTCAGGTGAGGAAAGTGTCTCTAGGACTTAAAAGGAAACTGTTGTAAATGAGTAGATTCTTACACGTGTTTTTTTTTTTTTTTTAGTCCATGGAGAACGGGCTCAACTACATGGCCGTGGCATTCGCCATGCAGCTGGTGAAGCTCCTACTGGTTGACGAACGTAGCGTGAGTCACATCACTGAAGCGGATCTCTTCCACACCATTGAGACGCTGATGAGGACCAATGCCCACTCCAGAGCCAATGCTCCTGAAGGGTAAGACAACTGCTTATGTTGCTGGTCCTGCAATTGACCTATCGGCAAGCCCCTCCCCTCGAACGCAGATGAGCCAATGGCAGTTGAGTATCAGTTGCACGGGGAGTGGAACTCGGACATCTTTAGGTTTCAGAACCATAGAGAAACATTGGAGGATCCGAAGCTTGCATCGGTTTTATGGTGTTTATGGTGTAAAAATGGAAAAAAACGATGTGCCTGGGGTACTTGTAACACTGATTCCAGGTATCCTGAGAGGATGGGCAATAGAATTTATTTTATTACATTTCCTAAACCCAAACAAAACAGAGCAAAATGTCCCTAAGCATTCAACCCCAATCCCAATGAAGACAAAAACGTTCATTTTCTTGTTGTCATACTCTCATTAAGTTACAATTTTAATCTGCTCAAGGAGAACGTTAATGTCCTCTTGTGCTTCAGCAAGGTATCTCTGGCTAAAACTAACTTTAAAGTTAGTGCGTCCATGCTAACGTACAAACCTAAATAGCAGACTGTTCTCACATGTACAATAGGGCTGCACGATATTGGAAAAAACTCACATTGCGATATTTTATTTTTCTGCGATATACATTCCAATATGAAAAAAAAATCACCACATGACTTGAATAGTTTATTTGGGGGAAAAAATAATCGATGATTGGGGTGATTTTGTAGGCAAGTAAATCAGCATATGAAATAAACAAATTACGAGCATAGATAAATATTACAGAACAAAGATAGAAATGAAATAAGCAGTGCTTTATATTTTTCAGGCAAGTCTGTTCAGGTACAGAAATTGAATAATCAAATGTAAAATAACACTGCATAGTCTTCACTGTATTAATTAAATCTAATAAATCGTGGGGTAAAGGGGTCATATGATGTGACTTAAATTTTTCCTTTCTCTTTGGAGTGTTACAAGCTCTTGGTGCATAAAGAAGATCTGTAAAGTTGCAAAGACTAAAGTCTCAAATCCAAAGAGATATTCTTTATAAAAGTTAGAAAGTCAACCATGCCTACCTAAAACGGCTCCAGCCCGGAGTCGTCACATGTGGTTGCCGCGAGCCCGCCGGATGCTCCTTCGTCGAATCCGCTGGCCACGCCGTTCTCAAGCCGGCCTCCGCTCACTCTAGCCCGCCGTGTGTTTCGTTGTGAAAGCGAAACTACTTTGTTTGGCCTTCCAAAAGAGGACACGACTAGAAATCAGTGGTTAAGTTGTAATTACAACACTGTTCCAGAACAGTTCAACCCAAATATTCAGATGTGTGCAGCACATTTTATGGAGGACTGTTTCCTGATCCGGTGAGAGTAGACTACAATGCCGGCTGTTCTGACTCACAGACTGTAAGTAAGTTTTTTAGGCGGGAAACAATGTACAGTATGTGGAAAATGTGTTTTTTTTAACCTTAAACCGCATAAACACATTTCATTACACCAAATACACAAAATAATGTTCTTTTTAGCAACGTCATATGACCCCTTTAAAGCTACAAAAGTGATTTTTCTTTGTGTTTTGATGTTTGACTAACATTCATAACACAGAAAGCCTCAGGAACATTAAACTGCTGTCAACCAATATACTGTTACATACATCCATTTTCTTTCTCAGTTGTTTTCCTTTGCCTAAGCCATAAGCAACTGCGTTTACAAGGATACTTGCAGAGCAAAGTATTTCAGGCACAAATAGATGCAGAAGTGAACCGAATTCAGTGTTCACATGCATTTGCGTGGCTCTCACCATGCCTACAACAGACGCGAGCAGCTCGGGGCGACGCGACAAAATACAATGAACTCATTATCAGTGATGCTGTCTACACTGGATGCGGAGCGGCACGACAAATCCGCGACAGTAAACTGATGTTGTGTTCTCTTTATGACGTACTAACACAAAGTTGAAATGATTGGCAACGTCGCTTTGTCGCGTCCAGTGTAGACAGACTTTGAGGCCATTCACATGTAGGGATGCAGCGATTAACCGGTTTCGCGATTAACCGCGCTTTAAAATGTCACAGTTAATTAATCGTAAAGGTTCCGCTAAACCGAGTGTTTCTGTTACACGGAACGGAACTGTTGCAGCTTGCGCAAAACGAAAACAAAGTTACACTAGCGGTGCACCAGCTTAAAATGACGTGCTTATCAGAGGCACGGAGGCTACTACATGCATTAGATATTTTATACATTAGTAATGTTGGGAAATGAATAAATGCATAATAATCGTCATAATCGTAAAACCGTGATTATTCCTCAGACAATAATCGTACCAACAAAATCTATAATCGTTGCATCCCTATTCATATGTCGCGCCTAAAAATGCGTGGGAAAATGCCAGTCATGCCGCTTTCTCCTTCTTTCCAAAGCGCCCGGGAGCTTGCGCTTTGGTGGCATCTGCCGTTGCTAAGCAACCGTGACCTGCGCTCTCCACGACGACGTGGAAGTTTCAACAAAGGATAAATGGATTTCCAGCACTGAAAATTGCGTGCAGTAGGTCTGCTACTATAAATATAACGATCAGTAGCTTATACTAAACATCGCACATCCTGCGATGTGACTATCGCAGATGTGCACATCGCGATGTCAATGCTGAAACGATATATCGTGCAGCCCTAATGTACAGTGTAGGTCAGAAACACATAAACGAAGGTCTACATTTCAGTGCCTCTCCATATGAAAATGGTTAAATGTAAATTAATTGTACCCTGTGATATATGAACAGTGTTGATCCTGCATGTTGTCATCTGCGATCGTGACGGCCGTAATATGAGACTTCTCCCGCTTGCATTAATCTGAACCCTTGCTTCGAGTTACCCCCACCATATTTATTTTAAAAACTTTTATATATATATATAATATATATATATCCCTCCATGGAATATTTAATTCCCACTTGAATGGTGGCCCTTCCGTGTCCAAAATTGTTCAAAAACATCGTGGGACAAGGTTTTCACACTGACAGCTGTCATTGTAAGAGAGTGAGCAGCTCCATTTGTTTGTCCGAGGGAGCAACAGTAACTAAGGGGGGCGGGGCTTACTGATAGGTCAATTGAGTGTCCGATTGGTTACGAAAAATTTAAGTAACCTGGAATTACTTCTATGGAACCCCTAGTTTGCCCCAGCTGATGGATGTTGTCCGTTCCAACTATGAGGCCATGATCGATCGTCACCATGGTGGGCCGAACTTCATGATGCACTCTGGGATTTCTCAAGCCTCTGAGTACGATGACCCACCAGGCCTTAGAGAGAAAGCAGAGTACCTGCTGAGAGAATGGGTCAACCTGTACCACTCAGCAGCTGCAGGAAGAGACAGCACCAAGGCCTTCTCTGCATTTGTTGGCCAGGTTAGCAATAACACTCAAAATACAAACGTTTCAAGTCTCAACTTGGTTCCTCTCAATGCTGTAATTGACCTGCATTACTTAATTCACACATGCCTTGTTTTTTCTTACAGATGCACCAGCAGGGCATCCTGAAGACCGATGACCTCATCACTCGCTTTTTCCGGCTGTGCACAGAAATGTGCGTGGAGATCAGTTACCGCGCTCAAGCCGAACAGCAGCACCCAACCACCAGCCCCGCCATCATCAGAGCCAAGTGCTACCATAACCTGGATGCTTTTGTTCGGCTCATTGCGCTTCTTGTCAAACACTCCGGAGAGGCCACCAACACAGTCACCAAAATCAACCTGCTCAACAAGGTTGGAATGCTTACAATGGTTAGATGTGGCTCAGTGGTGACTTTAAAGGGGTGGTTGATTGCGATTTCACTTTTTTAACGTTAGTGTGTAATGTTGCTGTTTGAGCATAAACAATATCTGCAAAGTTACTAAGCTGAAAGTTCAATGCAAACGGAGATAGCGTCTTTTAAAATTCTGGTGGTTTAATGCCTACAAAAACGGATGGTAGGGACTACAACGAGTTACTTCCCGGGTTTGTGACATCACAAACCCAGACAAACCCCGCCC